ACAAAAAAGGCTTGAATAACTTGATACTGAATATTAAGAAACGCTAAAGTGGAAGTTGACACTGCAGCATCATCTGAATTTTACCTTCTCAGGTCTGATACTGTGTGTATAACGGAAAGTGTGACGATCGGTCAGAAAATGATCAAAATGGGTGACCAAAATATTCGGAGTTTTTTCTGGGTAAGTAGGGCACGATTTTCTTCATCCACTTATCTTGTATCAGCTAGTTGGGCTTGAGCTTCTAGGCTATATCGCCCGTGGTAGTGTGTGACGTAATTGTCATGTAATAGTACTGTATGCGTTTATGATGGTCGTTACGCGGGGAATAATGCCTTCCGGGAGGCCTTTTTAAGGGATGGCCGGATGCCGAGCGGTCAAGGTTAGCAGACTGCCCCCTAGGGTACCCGGGATCAAATCCGGACGGGTCGAAAAAATCCCCAGGAATTTTTCGGGGAGTGGTCCGTCCGGATACGTTGGGCTTCCCGTCCCTCGCCACCCGGCCGAACCCATAATGAACTCGCTATAAGAGGCCTCTTAGTGCCCACAGGTCGGAAAGAGTTTTAAAAAAAAGTCTTATGGGTAACTGGCCCCTATTCGGGCATTATAGACATCAAGAAAGCCCGGAATACCGGTACCACGTGGCCAGCCCGTCCGGGCAGGACGCGAACCCACAGCCGAATTACTAGTGTTCAGGAAATGGAACCTCTTAGCCACTAGTGGGCTACCCACTTTGAAGCTTAATAATTACTGTGTCTTCTGTCGAAATTTTCTGAAATTTTGAAGGATTTATGTATTAATGCTATTATAGTTTGGTTGTTAAAGGTCGAGGGGTGGGACTTAATGACGACTTTACTCGTTACTAGCGTTAAGTTTTTTTTTATAAAGCTCATCCCTAAACCCTACCTTCAAAATTAAGCTTTTTCTATTTTATAATCATTAAAAATATAAAAAAGTTTTAAATAAAACTGCGTGTGTCGCCATCTGTTATGCTGTTTTAAATGTTGCCGGGAAAGTTAGGCAACTTCTTGCTGGATTTTTTTGGATTGAAGTTCGAAATTAATTTAAGAAATCGGCTGGAAACCCAAAAGATCTCTGAACTTTTGCGTACAAAGAGGCGTACAAGGCATCATGTTTTGATTTTAAAATTGACACCCAATTATCACAATGTATAAATAAAGACGTACTAGAAGAGAGGTGATGAACTGGATGATTACTAAATAAGGTAAGTGATTATAATAAAGGTTTTATAAACGTTATCCATTCATAAAAAGTGGAAGAATTATCGGAATGAAATGCAGTTTGCTTGTTAACTATTGTCAGCACGAAGGGTTGCAACGTAATTGACGAAGGAAGGATTAGTTCCAAAATTGCAATTTACATACAGAAGACATGCAAACGACACAGCTTATTCTTTAGAAAAACCGTGTTAATTTTCCTACTGGCAGTATATTCGACCTTGGAAATACGTTGGATCCCGTTCCTCGCCAAGGGCCACCCCATNTCAGGGTGGACATAGGCTGTATATTATTACGTTAAACATTCACATAAATTAAATGATATCGTCTATGGTTAAGGCTTTTATGTCCAAAAGATGGCGCTACGAGTACGACGCCCTAAGTTTGCTTTTCTGTGAGGCATTACGCTTTTCTGTGAAAATGAACTAAAACGGATCATCATCTATCTATTTATATAAATAAAAATGTAATGTTCGTTTGTTCCTACCGATTCCTTTGAAATTTTCACACAACGCTGTATTCGAATACGCACGTGTTTTTATATAATATACTTGTCGAAATTCCCCCCCTGGTGGAGATAGTTAGGATTAAGGCTTACCGTAAAGTACTCTGCTTCTATTTATACTATTTTAGATGCGGTTTTTTTTTTTTGCGTTTTAATAGGGTACGTCAACAGAATGTACACTGAGAAAACATTTTTCGAAAAATTCCACCCCCACGGGAGAAGTGTTATACATTTATAATAGATACACTTGGAGCGTCTGCTAGTAGTTTATAACTAGTAATAAGTAGTTTATATAAAAATAAATTTAATTAAACTATTTGGTCAGAAATAATGACAGACAAACATATCTACATCTATCGCTATTTTTGACCANGCTTCTATTATACTATTTCAGATGCGGTATTTTGCGTTTTTGATTGCGTTTTAATAGGGTACGTCAAGAAAATGTTAACTAAGGGATTTTTTGAAAAATTTCCCCCCACGGGGAAGTGTTATCTATATATATATATATAAAACCCATTCAACAGGCATCCGTCTGTCCGCGTAACGGTACGATAACGGACACTAGAGGCGCCCTAGTGAAGATTTTAAATTAACAATAAATTATTTTTATTTGTAATAGGAATTTATTATTTATACCACGGTTTTATTATATGCCTTGCCTTGCCTTATTATATGCCTGAATTAACTTTGCTCAGCACGTTTACGACATTCCGTGACTCGGTGAACGTCGCGCATTGACTCACGGGAAATTTGTTGAAAAAATGGCGGATACATTTAAAATCGAGGTTTACAGGCGAAGGTAAATAAACAAATTAAACTATTTTAAAGTATTTATAGAATGTTTAATAGGTAGAAATATAGATCCGTATGGCGCTATTGGGACGGTAAGATTTATCCTCCGAATGGAGAGGTGGCGACCCCCCTCTGTGCGAACAATAAATGTCTAATGAACCATACCCCTACACGCGCCCGTTTCCGAGATATAGTGCTGCGAAAATTATTCTACGTGTCACGTGACCGCCTGTTCGCCACAATTTACCCTGCGAATGAGCGGGTCGGCGAACCCTCGAATGTGCGCGAGCGCGCGTTAGTTTCCCTTTTGAACACGGTGTCACGTGACCGGAAATGACGTAGGCGAATTTTCAGGGGCTTATATCTCGCGAAGGGTCGCGAGTAAGGGTATGGTTCCTTTGACTTTATTGTTCGCACAGGGGGACTACAGTTTGGGGGGATCGCCACCCCTTCATTCGGAGGGTAAATCTTACCATAGGGACTTTAACGGAGCTGTAGAACATATTGATAGAAACAAAAAAGTCAAAGAAATTGTGCCTCATGGAAATTTGTAAAGAACGCCCACTAGGGGGCGTCCCGGGCTACTAGTACATTTATAATAGATACATTTTGAGCCACAACAACGCGTGGCGGGGTCTGCTAGTATTCTATAAATAAGCCTGACATTATTTACAACTTTAAGTGTTGATAATGAAATATATACAGGGTGAGAAAGATATGAATAAGTATTAATGTATTGATAATCAGAATGGATTGATAATGTATTGATAATCAAAATTTGTAAAGTTCACCATACAATTGAATCTTTATACACGCGATTATACACGTGTCTACGGTCGCAGTCGTCCACGAAAGCTTCGCGTGTGCGCCACTAGAGGCGCGTTTATGTTATTACCATTTCGAGAAGCGTTTCGTGTTTTCAACGATTATCGATGACTTTTTATAAAATATTTAATAATATATTTTTATTTTCATAATGTATTATTAACGCTTTCTATCGTCTAATTCGCGTTTGAATATTTTTATAATACGTATTAACGTTCTCGTTCGAAAATACGTTAGGAATACTATTCTGTAAGAATGCGAAGTTAAACAAACAACGACGGTAATCATTTTAATAAGCAAACAACACAGAAAACAATTTTATCAACCAAAAAACAATAATAATATAAGGGATGACGACAAGAACACAAATTATTAAATGATTCCGATGGAAACAAGTCTGGCAAAAACACTAATACATGGCCGTTCAATTAGAATTTATATAATTTATAAAATAATAATATAATTTATATATTATTAATATTTGATTNCCCCCTAGGGTACCCGGGATCAAATCCGGACGGGTCGAAAAAATCCCCAGGAATTTTTCGGGGAGTGGTCCGTCCGGATACGTTGGGCTTCCCGTCCCTCGCCACCCGGCCGAACCCATAATGAACTCGCTATAAGAGGCCTCTTAGTGCCCACAGGTCGGAAAGAGTTTTAAAAAAAAGTCTTATGGGTAACTGGCCCCTATTCGGGCATTATAGACATCAAGAAAGCCCGGAATACCGGTACCACGTGGCCAGCCCGTCCGGGCAGGACGCGAACCCACAGCCGAATTACTAGTGTTCAGGAAATGGAACCTCTTAGCCACTAGTGGGCTACCCACTTTGAAGCTTAATAATTACTGTGTCTTCTGTCGAAATTTTCTGAAATTTTGAAGGATTTATGTATTAATGCTATTATAGTTTGGTTGTTAAAGGTCGAGGGGTGGGACTTAATGACGACTTTACTCGTTACTAGCGTTAAGTTTTTTTTTATAAAGCTCATCCCTAAACCCTACCTTCAAAATTAAGCTTTTTCTATTTTATAATCATTAAAAATATAAAAAAGTTTTAAATAAAACTGCGTGTGTCGCCATCTGTTATGCTGTTTTAAATGTTGCCGGGAAAGTTAGCAACTCCTTGCTGGATTTTTTGGATTGAAGTTCGAAATTAATTTAAGAAATCGGCTGAAAACCCAAAAGATCTCTGAACTTTTGCGTACAAGGCATCTTGTTTTGATTTTAAAATTGACACCCAATTATCACAATGGTCTGGGTGATTACTAAATAAGTTAAGTGATTATAATAAAGGTTTTATACAGGTTGGGCAAAAAGTCCATATAAACGTTATCCATTCATAAAAAGTGGAAGAATTATTGTAATGAAATGCAGTTTGCTTGTTAAGTATTGTCAGCACGAAGGGTTGCACGTAATTGACGAAGGAAGGATTAGTTCCAAAATTGCAATTTACATACAGAAGACATGCAAACGACACAGCTTATTCTTTAGAAAAACCGTGTTAATTTTCCCACTGGCAGTATATTCGACCTTGGAAATACGTTGGATCCCGTTCCTCGCCAATGAGCCACCCCATCGTGGGTCTGACCAAACCACGATGGGTGCGATTAAAAAGTCCCTATGAACGGTCACAGGCCGAAAAGAGAAAAACAAAATATTTAATTATATAAACGTTTATTTAACAAATTTTGGCATTTAAATTAATTCATGTTTTTTCAAAATTTATTTCATTACTGTATTATCCGGTTTATCAAAATTCCCGGATAATTCAAAATCGCTATCGTCATTATAACGGCGATGGTTAGATGCTAAACAGTTTATAAATAGGTTTCGTACAATTCTTAAAGCGCGGCTTTTGCGATTAAAAGCTTTAAAATTAACTCCCCGTGCTTCAGAAATATCGCATTTATCCATATCTCTTGTAGAATTTATATCTTCTAATGGAGGAATACAGAGATCTTCCATCTGAACCGGCGAATTATTATCTAAAGGCAATTCTCTCTCATTTGTTTCTCGCAATAATATATTTCTATCGCATACATTTTCACTTGTACAATTAATTTTCAATCTCCCTTTCGATGACGTCCCAGGATTTTGAATTATTTCTGGTGTCTTTAGATTTAATTTTATTCTTTTGACATTATCCTGGTTTAAATATGGAATCTCCCTTCTTTCCAGTTTGCCAATTGTATTTGTAGAATTAGAAAATTTCCGTTGTTTTGACATTCTCACATTTGGAATTGTAAACATTACAATTGGTAAATGTTTAATCTTTTGCATTTCGTGTGAAATATTTACACCCGAGTGAAATTTCTTCCGTTCTTGCATCTCGTCCGCTGTAATTGATACATTGGGTGTTGATGCCACACTATTTCCATTATCACCAGAAGAACATTTGGTACCAATATTTCTGCGTGTTGGTATTATAAATTCACCGGGTTCATCTAATGTCGTCATCACGCTACGTATTTCTGCTTCACTCGAATCCGATGGGTTAAAAATTTCGTCACGGAAACAATGAAATATGGGTGCGCAATGCAATCGATTGGCATTAATTAAATCTGATTCAATGCCATTGCCTTCCCACGAATTATCAACATTTTCGGGACGATTATTGGTTCCTTTCGCCTGTTCTTTTCGACGCCTTGAAAAATCAACTAGAAGTTTCTTCATTTTATTAATAAAAGTAGCTGCAGATGATTTACCCGCTCTAATATCGTTAACAACTTGACTCGATGTTGCATCTTTATTGAATTGTTTCTTACAATATTTTAAATTATGTTTTAATTCGTTAATTAATTTCTTCTTATCTCCTATTTCCTTTGTCAATTCTTCAGAGCAATTGTGAGATTTCATTACATTAGCGGGCAACATGAGAGAGCAATATTTTTTGCATTGAATTAATCGATAATTGCATTCTAATTGCTCGTGTTTAAATCTATCTTTAATTACCATTTCCTCTTGGCATTTACTGCATTTTACGACTACATAATCACAATTAGATAAGTGAGAATCGTATTCCTCCAAGGCGAAATTCTGCTTGCAACCGTGTTCGGAATTCGGACAACGAATGGTCAACTTCATTATCATATTTTTGATTATAGGCCCTACGGCTTGAAGTTCGTATAAAATAACCGATTTCCTGCAAACGGGGCAGGTATTCTGACAGCTCAACCAATCGCAAATGCAATTTCGGCAGTAAACGTGACGACAAGGGCACTCTACTGGGTCGTAGAAAACGCAGTCGCAAATGCTACATATTAAATCTTCGTTAGGAAAAGGATCAAAATTTTCCACTTGATAAGCGGTTTGCGTTGGAGCCATTCTTTCATTCACTATTTCAATTCAATTTTTTTTTTCTTTTTAAATTTTCGGAATTTTAGTGTCTGTTTTTAACAAACGAAGCGAACAATTTAGCGCGGCAATTGTTACGTGATAGTTTTTTTTTCAATATCTGTTATAGGAACTAATTCATTAAATTAACATAGTAATTTATATTCAACCAATGCCAGATTATCCATTATGCACGTGAGGCATATGCCTACGAGCCCCGTGTCTTGGGGACCCTGAAACTGGAAAAAACAAAACTATTTCAAAATCCATTCAACTGAAAATATAATGATTTAAACTCAATGCTTTATGTAAATCAATATAAAAAAAGAAAGTTAAAAAAAATACATCGCACACAAGAAACTTTACAAAAAATATACAGGAGACTCCTGCTAATCCGGCCATTCCTTGCATAGACGAATGCCTGATTACTGACAGATAAAGGACGTCAGTTTAATTCTTTATTAAATTTAATGTTATGCATTATGTACTGCAAGAAAATGTTTGCAGCTTCGGCGCCAGCAATGTAATCTTCGTTCTCTCTTCCTTCTCTTCATCATTTTCACCCTCCATACTTTTGGTAATTTCTTCATCTGTTAAAGCTTGGTCTACTCCACAATATTCTTCATTCAACCAATTAGTAATGTCTTCTTCATCGACTTCCCCTTCTGGAAGATTGTGGAACAAATCAACGAACACATCATTTGAAAACGATTCTTCTGAATTGACTGACTCGATGCAGACTCCAACTTAGTGTCAATCAAAGGCCATACTTTTTCCCAATACTTTACTATTGTAGTACTTCCTACAATGTGCCACGTTTCTGCTGTTTGGAAGACAATATCACTCGTGTTGATCTCTTTACACGCCTTCAGCATAGCTTTCGTAGAATCGTTTTCACATTCATTCAGTAGGCAGATAAGAACTGTATGTGGATAGGGATGCTTAATCGATTCCAAAATTCTCTGATCCTTTTTGTTCTTAGCAGCAAGAGTTTTTGAAAGGTTTCATTTTGAAAAAGATATCAATATCAGAAGTATTGTACACTGCAGCAGGAGTTAGTTCTTCCTTTATCATGTTTTCCAGCTTCTTTTTAAACTCCTCTTCCGCATCTTTTTCGTTTGCTGACCGACTTTTCTCGGTGACTGTCAGCTGCCACACACCATTCTTTTCACACGTGCTTAGAAATAGAAATGGATTATCATGGTAATTGGCTGCAGCCAGGGCGCGGATCGAGGTTTTTTTTTGGGGTCTAGGGCTTTTTGACATTCAATAGGGCCCCATTTCTTATTAGATTAATTAAGAAATCAACTGATTACAATAACACAAATAATACTATAAATTATCATTATTATTATATTATAAATATTAACTATTTTTTACTATACGATAAGTGTTCATTGTTAATGAAAAAGTATTAAGAATTTATGATGATAATTCAATTTCTGTGGGCACTCGACACTTGGGGTCCCAGGGCTTAAGTCCTATTAGTCCCTATGTAGATGCGCCCCCTGCTCGCGACGAGCAATCTTGTTTTAATTAATACACTTACTTAAGCACTTGTTAATTAAACTTATGTATGATAACAAATAAACGAGTGTTTTCGTTAATTAATTAAATCAATTACATACGAAAGCCAATGTTTATCGCCTCGATAAAACAATTCGATTTGGCTTCCGCCGAAATTAACTTTATTCAAATGTAAAACTGAAATAAGGACATTATACGAGTTGCAATCTATACTAATATTATAAAGAGGTAATGTTTGTAAGTTTGTTTGCAGCAGGTAATATCCGAAACTACTCATCCGAATTCAAAAATTCTTTCACCAATATTTAGAATGGACCTTCAGGGTGGACATAGGCTGTATATTATTACGTTAAACATTCACATAAATTAAATGATATCGTCTATGGTTAAGGCTTTTATGTCCAAAAGATGGCGCTACGAGTACGACGCCCTAAGTTTGCTTTTCTGTGAGGCATTACGCTTTTCTGTGAAAATGAACTAAAACGGATCATCATCTATCTATTTATATAAATAAAAATGTAATGTTCGTTTGTTCCTACCGATTCCTTTGAAATTTTCACACAACGCTGTATTCGAATACGCACGTGTTTTTATATAATATACTTGTCGAAATTCCCCCCCTGGTGGAGATAGTTAGGATTAAGGCTTACCGTAAAGTACTCTGCTTCTATTTATACTATTTTAGATGCGGTTTTTTTTTTGCGTTTTAATAGGGTACGTCAACAGAATATACACTACAAAGGGATTTTTCGATATTCCCTCCCCGCGGGGGAGAGAGACAGGATTAAGGCTTACCGTGAAGAACTTGGCTTCTATTATACTATTTCAGATGCGGTATTTTGCGTTTTTGATTGCGTTTTAATAGGGTACGTCAAGAAAATGTTAACTAAGGGATTTTTTGAAAAATTTCCCCCCACGGGGAAGTGTTATCTATATATATATATATATAAAACCCATTCAACAGGCATCCGTCTGTCCGCGTAACGGTACGATAACGGACACTAGAGGCGCCCTAGTGAAGATTTTAAATTAACAATAAATTATTTTTATTTGTAATAGGAATTTATTATTTATACCACGGTTTTATTATATGCCTTGCCTTGCCTTATTATATGCCTGAATTAACTTTGCTCAGCACGTTTACGACATTCCGTGACTCGGTGAACGTCGCGCATTGACTCACGGGAAATTTGTTGAAAAAATGGCGGATACATTTAAAATCGAGGTTTACAGGCGAAGGTAAATAAACAAATTAAACTATTTTAAAGTATTTATAGAATGTTTAATAGGTAGAAATATAGATCCGTATGGCGCTATTGGGACGGTAAGATTTATCCTCCGAATGGAGAGGTGGCGACCCCCCTCTGTGCGAACAATAAATGTCTAATGAACCATACCCCTACACGCGCCCGTTTCCGAGATATAGTGCTGCGAAAATTATTCTACGTGTCACGTGACCGCCTGTTCGCCACAATTTACCCTGCGAATGAGCGGGTCGGCGAACCCTCGAATGTGCGCGAGCGCGCGTTAGTTTCCCTTTTGAACACGGTGTCACGTGACCGGAAATGACGTAGGCGAATTTTCAGGGGCTTATATCTCGCGAAGGGTCGCGAGTAAGGGTATGGTTCCTTTGACTTTATTGTTCGCACAGGGGGACTACAGTTTGGGGGGATCGCCACCCCTTCATTCGGAGGGTAAATCTTACCATAGGGACTTTAACGGAGCTGTAGAACATATTGATAGAAACAAAAAAGTCAAAGAAATTGTGCCTCATGGAAATTTGTAAAGAACGCCCACTAGGGGGCGTCCCGGGCTACTAGTACATTTATAATAGATACATTTTGAGCCACAACAACGCGTGGCGGGGTCTGCTAGTATTCTATAAATAAGCCTGACATTATTTACAACTTTAAGTGTTGATAATGAAATATATACAGGGTGAGAAAGATATGAATAAGTATTAATGTATTGATAATCAGAATGGATTGATAATGTATTGATAATCAAAATTTGTAAAGTTCACCATACAATTGAATCTTTATACACGCGATTATACACGTGTCTACGGTCGCAGTCGTCCACGAAAGCTTCGCGTGTGCGCCACTAGAGGCGCGTTTATGTTATTACCATTTCGAGAAGCGTTTCGTGTTTTCAACGATTATCGATGACTTTTTATAAAATATTTAATAATATATTTTTATTTTCATAATGTATTATTAACGCTTTCTATCGTCTAATTCGCGTTTGAATATTTTTATAATACGTATTAACGTTCTCGTTCGAAAATACGTTAGGAATACTATTCTGTAAGAATGCGAAGTTAAACAAACAACGACGGTAATCATTTTAATAAGCAAACAACACAGAAAACAATTTTATCAACCAAAAAACAATAATAATATAAGGGATGACGACAAGAACACAAATTATTAAATGATTCCGATGGAAACAAGTCTGGCAAAAACACTAATACATGGCCGTTCAATTAGAATTTATATAATTTATAAAATAATAATATAATTTATATATTATTAATATTTGATTTAATTTAAATATAAAAATATCGAAGCGTCCTTTTAAATTATTAAAATTCAGATTTTTATAAATTAATACCAGACCGCGCCCCCTAGTGATCAACAATCGACCTATCATAGATGTTTTGTAAATTTTGGAGTCGTGTATGGTGGGAAGGAGTAAGTCTCTCGTTTTTATTTTATTTATCCGTTAAAAGTATAGAAAACTTGTTTTTTTCCCTACAATTTCGGAATATAAATCTATTATAAACACGTTACGTGAGATTGTGACGTGTGTTCTGTTATTGATTACGTATAAATGATTAAAATGTCTCTGGGCACAGCAATGTGATAATGGAGTTGTGTAATTTCTGCTTAATATTTATTTAAGTTTAAAAGGCAATGCCAGTTGATCAGTTGAATGTTGTCAGGCACTGGTGTGCGTAAGGCTGTTTGTCTGGCCACAGTTATAGTTATTATACATATATGGCTAGGCCTGCCTGTTTGTTTGTCTGTCTGCCTACGGTTTAAGTTATAGGCAAGCGAGCTTATATAAATGAAATGGTCTAAGCCCGCCGGTGGGTGAGCAAATAACCTCACGTGCCGGTTGTCGGTTGCGGATTTGCACCTAACCAATTGGCTTGGAGTTTTATGGGATTCTTCATATGTCTAACACCTAAATGGGACGAGTTTGCCCGTAAAAGACTCCCTTGCTAGGTAGAAGTGCATCTAGATAGCCCCGATGGCGGTACTTACGAGACTGTGGCATTTAATTATTTGGCTCACGTGACTATGCCAGCTTCGAGTAACCCACTCGACTGTTCGTAGAGTACTCAATGTTATATAGTTTTAGGGGGATCACTTCACCTGGGTGCCGAGGGGCGAGTGATAGCGAGCACCGAGGTGCACGTCTATATGCAAAGCGTGTAGAATAAGCAGTGGACTGATAGGTGTTAAAACCGACCTTCAGAGACTAATATCGTGCGAAGGGTTGACAGTTCTGAGGGTAGTGTGAAACTTCTAATTCGGAGTAAGTGGCCGGAAGTGTTTCCATGGGGACTACCTAGATGCACTTTTACATGTTTGTTATAAAGTAATTCAATACGTGAATAGTCTTCTTTGCAGACCGGTAAAATTGTGAATAATTTTACTAGACCTGGTAATTATATGCGACTATGAATTATGCTTATTTAGCTGTATGTAACAAAATACATACAATAACTCTAGATTACTATTTGAATGTTGCTCGTAATCGATTGCTCTGGCTTCGGTACGGTCAAATATTTTTCTGCGGAGTGGTGAAATTTTTTTGCATGTTAGCACTGGTCTTTAGTCTGGTGGTTGAAAAATACCGTTTTTCAATTCCGCATTTGGTTTAAGTCCTGGATACAGAGAGTCTGAAATTTAGTCTTTTCTGTAAAAAACTTTGATCCATGTGATTAGAAATTAATTAAAAGTAATCGCAGAGAAATAATGTGATTTATTCTGGTAGACATTTGGCTTGTAGACTGACACTTTATTGTGTAGCCATTTGATTGACTGTGTTGCAAATCATCACTTTGTAAGAAAGACTGGTTAAAATTACATACAAAAAAAGATATTAAACAATACTAAACAATTACCTTATATCCTAGAATGTGCTGTTTGATGCTTTCTTAGATGCTATTTGTATACACACTAGGAATGTTTTCCAACTATTGATATTTATAAATGAATTGTAATAAAATACAATTTCAAACTGATAATAAGTATCGTCATTTTTCTAATTAATTTTAGTTTTTCAGGCATAAACAAGAATTGAAAACGAGAAACTTTCTTTCGTGCAGTGAAAACAAACATCATGGTGTTGTTGCGGAAATCTACGGATGGGTTTGTTAGTTATTAATGTTCTAGTATAAGCATTTTTGTATACAGTTTGTAATACATTTAATTAAGGAAATTCATTTCTACATAAATAATTAAAATGACCATATTTAATTATCTGTAAATATATCATTTTTGATACATATAATTGAGTAATTTGTTTATAAAGTGCTTGAAATTTCTAGTCACTAGGTTGTTATTGGTATCTAGAAAATTTTGCATGTTGACTAAAAGATTATAGCTAAAAACTTTTTTATATGCTTTTTATTAATTTACTACTGTTTTAGTCTGTCTTTAATTAACTTAATTTTCACCCAGTTCCGAAATTCTCGCCTAGTTGAAACTTTATTGGGCTGCAATTTGAAAAAATTGTAGACCTATAAATTTCCATAATCATTTATCCATCTGTCTTTCATTAATCTTGAGAATGAAGTGAGATAGATGAAAGACGAGACCAGATATGGAAACCATAGAGACAGGAGCCCCGATTAACTATATGCAAACTTTCGGAAGTCACATAATTTCAATTTAAAACTTCCCCCGAAAACAGTTAATAGATAACCGGCATGACCTGTTGTTAACGGAAAAGTACGATGTACAGGGCAAGACACTACAGTCGCCCCCCTACAACACTGTTGATAATTCCATTTTATATGAATTCCATGTTGTAGGAGCCACTTAGATTTTACAAATACATGAGTTGTTCACAGCCCGGCACACGTTTTTGTAAAATCTAAGTGACTCGTACAACATGGAATTCATATAAAACGGAATTATCAACAGTTATAGGGGGGTCGACTGTACAGTACTAATTTGAGGTGGAGAGCATATATTTTAAATGAAATTAATTAAAAATACGATTAAAAATTACAGCTTGGCATTGTGACGACGTCACAATAAATAATTGCTTGTACATGTACGCATTCCTGATGACAATACATTTTTTTATGGTTGCAATTTTAGCAAAAAGTTGTGAAAAATTTAAATTTATAATTTTATTTGGGAGTTCATTTTAAATGTAAGCAATTTTTAAAAATTTTTTATTTAACTTACAGAATGTTGCATATTTATAGGACCAATGGATCAGGACCAATAAATTACACCATAACCAATAATGAAATTATTAAAATACAGACTATGCAAATTTAATTTTTTCAGCTAAATCTGAAGCTTGTTTCTTAAATAAGCTGAAAATGTTTTTTATTTTCAATAAAATGTTTGCTAGAAAAGTATTTTTTTGGTGATTTATCTCAGTTTCAGCTTGAAAATTTGGTTATTAATAAAATATATACTGTTATTTACCACTATACTGATAGTTCCCACAAGTATAGCAGCAAATTACTCATGAGAACTATGAGTATATACATGAAACAGGCAAACCGGAACTAGAGTAATGACCAATGTTTTGAAAATGGATAATGTGAAAGGATTATGGAAGGAAACTGCCATGCAGAGGAAAAGATGCATGGAGAATTATGCATCTTTCCTCTGCATGGCAAAACTAGACAAAAACATCAAATGAAATTAGAAACATAGTATAGAGGAATAAAAGTAAAAAATAAATTTTCCTCAGCTTTCACAGTATTCTTGGTATTGCACAACCAAAAATAAAAGTGTGGTGCACCATTTCCAAACATGAGTGCACCAAACTTTTATTCTTGTTGCATGATACCAAGAATACTGTGTTTTACTTTGTAAACTCTTTTATGAATGAAACAGTAACACTAGCTTGACAGTTAAGAAATTTTAGTGCATAAAAGCCCGAAATTTATTAGAAAGCACACTTAAAACGGACATTAAGGAGAAAGCAACGCCAAATTTTGCTCTTGTGGTTGAATTTTGAAATAAAGTTTTCTCCAGAAATCAAAACTGTATGCTCAGGACTATACCATATTTGGTTGAAATGTGTCCAGTAGTTCTTTCTATAAAGAACTCTGAACATTTACTTTTCAATTATGATCACATTGTATATTAAATGTTTTTAAAAATTAAATTGCTAGTAAATGGTTGATTATAAAACATCATAGGATCTAATTGAATCTATCAATTCAAAAAAAGGCCAAGTCCAGATTCTGTCAATATTCACTTTATGAGTGAAATTGAGTCTCTAAGGCAAGTTGTGTTGTGTAGTGCATAAGATAGGCTGAAATTCTCTTCAGTACTCTGTAGGAACATGCTGAAATTCGGAGACAAATCAACAAGGTTTGATCTCCTAGACTTTAGTCTTTATTGATTGGCATATGTTTACATGTGTGGCCATTCATTCATCATCTGGCAATGACAGAATCATATAAACAAATCGCGACATTAGTTATTCTGTAGTTTAATAAAATCTTTTGAAAAACATTTAATTACTACCATTTTATAAGAGAGACCTAAATTTTGATTGTAATTGTAATTGAAGTGATACTTGCATATATAAATATCTTAAAGCCAAAGATTATTGGATTAAATCAAGCTACATTTCTGCTACTAATAATTATTAAATATTGAATAATTTGTTATTATAGATAGGTTTTAGATACTTCTTTTATTAAATTTAATAATTACAATTAAATTAATATTTGTTAAATAAAGTTAGAAATAAGAGATGACACCTGACGTCTATCTCTAGTGCCAAATTACTTGGTATTTAGTAATTATTAGTAGCAGAAATGTATCCTGATTTAATCCAGTAATCATTTAGCATCAAGTGACAGCCATCTTTCTCTGTTTTTCAAGAAAAGTTCTATAGTATGATGAGTATAAAATAGTATAATGAGCACCAAAAACATGAGACTAGAGCCAGCAAGTTTATAACTGCAGTAATGGAAACCATCTTTCACATATTGTGGAATAATGTGTTACCAAACTTAGCTGCTCCTTGATTGTATGATGCTCAAGTACCTGTTAAAACTGCCAAAGTTTACGACTTGAGAGAACCTCTTATGGCTAAGTACAATACTGTAAACACAAGTCATCTTTTGAATGCATGTTAGCAAAGACAACACACGAGCACATGCAAGTATGTGTATGCCACTATTAGCGAGGTTGAGGCCGAAGTTTTAAATGCGAAAATGTGTACGTCGGACGTTCAACGCCGCTTTCCTGTAAGCCTAGAAGTTTGACAATGGTGTTTGGAATGTCGAGTATGATTCCACTGACTATCCAAACACCATTGTCAAATTTCTACGCTTACAGGAAAGCAGCGTTGAACATCCGACGTACACGTTTTCGTGTTTAAAACTTCGGCCTCAACCTCGCTATTGCCTTTGATAATATGTGCTTTCAGATCAAAAGTTATTTAATAATGTAAATGTTATACAAATGTTAGTTTAATTAATAATGTAAAATGGATTTCTATATTACAGAGTTTAAAAAATAAAGCAAAAAAGTAATGTTGTCTTTAGCTTGAATTATTATATTGAATTCAGTTTAATAACAATCGTAATTATTAGTTCGCGTGGTATAAGAGAGCAGTCTGACCACCGTATCTTTAGAAAAAATTATTTTATATTAAATATTAATAGTTATTAATTTTTTATTAAATTCTCTTTCGGTTTATTAATATAAAATTTTGGAAAATTTATTAAACTAATATTTTTGTAACAAATTACACGATTTATTAATGAATAATAATTAAAAATAACCGATTCTTTTTTCTCCTCGAGGAAGCCATTTAGTTTTACGCTTGCAGATTAATAATAGGATAAATTATTTTATCTTATTTTGAATCTTAATTCAACAATTCTAAAAAAATAAAATTATTAATTAGAAAAAAATATATTACTAATTTGAGTTTCCTATAAAAGTGGCAGAATGACTTGTTACATGTTGCTTTTACAATAGCATTGACATTAATGTCGAACGATGATGGCGAATTGACGGAGAAGGTTTTTACTAGCATCGAAACATTCCTGTATTGAAATGGCTGTGCCAAAATGTACAATTCCATTTGAATAATCCCGAAATTAGTATGCTTATTATACAGGGTGTCCACAAAGTCTGGGTACATAAGGATTAACATATACTTTTAAAACAAAATAGTTTTATTTGATTCTAATATTAATAAATAACATTTTCAATATGATTTGCATCATTTTCGATACATAATTTGATGCGCCTTGCAAAATTCAGGTGAACTTGATTAAATAGGTCTGTGTCAAAGGTTAAATTCTCCCGCAATTTTGCGATAAGACCATCCTTCTCGTCCACTTAAGAGTATTAACTCGATTCGTTTTTCTTTAGACAGAGCCATCATTCAATCTGGGTAGGAAAAACAACATAAATAAATATAATAGTGAAATCCCCATGTACACAGACTTTGTGGACACCCTATAGAATATTTGAGCTTGGTTTTTTTTGTATATCTACAATGATTTGTTAACAGAAATGAAAGATAAAAAGCAATATTTTAATGCTTGAAATGGCAACTTCCAAACTGCATACCAGTAATTATCTTTCTTTCACTGGCCACTCTTGTATTTCATAAGGTGGATTATACAAAAGTTTTGTTTTTGCAATTTTCTGTGGATTTCGCACTGTCATGAGTTATCCATACAAAATTATGATACTTATATTATTTCAATTTTGTACAATTTTATTTTGCACCACTGTTAGGATGTTCAGTACATTTTTATACATTTATTACAGTTGTGAAGGTCAGATAGCCAAGGTGGTTAAGACATCTGTTTACCACTCTGCTGAGGTCTCCAGCATCAAATCCAGGTGGAAAAATAAGCCTAAATATTTTTATGTGGGCAGTCTTGTCTAAGATATGCTATGTCCTGTCCCTCGCCATCTGACTATCTTGTTGTGGGCTTGGCCAAGCCCGTGATGGTCTTCAAAAAGGCTGTCTTAGTACCAAGGAGAGAAAAAGTAAAAATATGTATAAAGTGAATGTGTGTATGTATGACTATTGTCTGGAAGAAAGTATACTTTAAAGTTTAATATTTGTGAAAGGAAATCAAATTGACTACAGAAAAGTTATTGAGTTGGCTCTATGATTTGACTCTCTAATGCAGTGTTTCTCAACCTGTAATGAACCGTCGCCCCCTTCAATAAAACCGTTACGTAGTATCGCCCCCTTCACTACAAAATTCCGATGCCGAGGGACAAGGCTAACGCCAAATTCGTACTGCATTGAATAGACTAGTAACCAGTATAATGTTATTTGTTTAATTATTGTACGATATAACGAATAAAATATCTAATTATTCTTAATATAATGTTTTACTATATCGCCCAGAAAATTGTTTTTTGCCCCCCAAAATATAAATTGTTNATTAACTCAATTAAAGACTTCAGATAAGGGGGCATTAAAGAAATTAAAATAAACACTTTATTTCTGCAAGTGCTTTCGACGTAATTACCCCCAAAATATAAATTGTTACCAATTGCCCCCTGAACATGGAAAAACGCCCACACTGAGAAACACCCACACGTTGAGAAACACTGCTCTAATGTAAATCAGATCATTTGAAGAGAGTCATTTTTTTCCTATATCTAGAATAGTAGTATAACTCGTGCAGCTCGAACACCAACTATATAGTGTATTCATTTGGGCACAAGGCAAATCTCATCATTAATGTTTATTTAGTTCAACTAAATAAAAATTAATGATGAGATTTGCCTTGTGTCCGTGTGAATACAGGTATACCTCGACTTACGTCGTTTCGAGTTACGTCATTCCCGATTATACGTCACTTGTCAAAAAAGTATATGGAAAAATAAAAATCAAGTTTAAGTCATTTTATTCGACTTTACGTCTGTCCACCACAAATATTGAAGTCGTAATATCACTAGAAAAATGTTTAAAGCACATAAAATCATATTATAATACAGTATAAACATTTACAAGTATATACTGTATTTACAGTACACGCATTCGTAAATTTAAATTACTTTTTTCTGTACTATATTAAAAACTAAAATTTATTTGTTTGTAAGCTTAAAATAGATCCTTATTAACCATATATTATTAAAAATGCATTAATAAATAAAATACAGAACGGGAATTGGTAATTTATGGTTTAGCCTAGTGGCAAGTAGATTCGGAGACAAGTAAATTCGACTTACGTCGTTTTTCGACTTAAGTCGTTCTCCTGGAACCAATTATCGATGTAAGGCGAGGTATACCTGTACACCATATAGTTAGTGTTTGAGCTGCACAACAATTACCGGCACGGTTTCATAAGTACTAGTAGTGTAACTAATAATTGTGCCCATTTGGTATGTATATATTGTGGTTTTAAATCCTACTCTAGATTGGTAATTTTTCCAGTATTTAGGCTAAATTTTGATGGCGATAAATACTAAAATGCTTAAATGGCATTAAGAACATTTAAAATATATACAGAGAGATGTGAGCACTTTCAAATTTAAAAGAAAGCATTTCGTGTTTGCTTTTGGAGAAGTACTTTGTATTCTGCTATTTTACATCCTATTGGCTAACCATCTATGTTGACTGGCAAAGAAACTTGGCGGCAAAGTTGCTTGAAGAAGAAACTTCATTTTAGTCTAACCAGTAAGAAATTATAAGGAGTCAAAAAGTTCATGGGATAAGAATAGATTTAGAGCATGATGGAGTCAAGTTACTGAAGTATTTATTATTCTACATATTTCTTTTTTACATAAGGAGAAATTTTCGGATTATTATTAAAAATTAAATTAACTGAAACGTAACCTGAAAAATATCCTAGTTATTTACATTTATGATAATTGTTTTGGGCTTTGCAGTACTGTATGTAGATAAATCAAGTTCAACCATCCTATCCCTCAATGTAACTGGGTAATCATTATAAACAACACATTATGTAGAACGTTTTCTAATACCATCCGTTGATATTAGATTTTAACTGATGTTAGAAAAGGTTCTATATGGTGTGTTGTAGATAAAATCAAATTTTGATTTGACATAATTAATTTTAAACATTTTAACTAAAATAGTAAGGTTGTATATAATATAATAATTATTGTTTATTTTTTGTTTTTTTCAGAAATTAAATGAAAAAATGATATCAAGATTAGCCTGCTGTCGGAGTGAAAAGCCGAACAAGACATTTAAACTTCTTAGATAACAATAAGAAGATGTATTTCATTAGGTAGCCGTTCTCGTCGACGAAAAGTTCGAATTAACCGACATGTGGTTGAAAGTGAGGTTACGGCAAAAAAAGACTTTGTTAATTAATTTTTTGAAATGGAAAAAATTATTAATCCTCATATGCTTCCTACTTAAAATTCATTTAAGTGAACCTATTTTATTTTCATTCTGTAACGAAACCGAGTCGACTTCCTCGACCGTTCTACGTGTAGACTTTTCAACTCAGGTTGTAAAAAATGGTAAGTAGTAATTGTTTAATGTCAATATGCTTGTTATGATTAAGTTTTTATTAATCAAAATTTATGAAAACATAATAAAAATTAACAGTCAGTTTCTTAAGAAATGAAGTTACGCAAACAAGTTTTTATACAATCGATCACAATAACTGTTCTGCAGACTTTGCTATTTATGTAGCACCACTGTACAACCAGCAGTTATATATTATATTGCAAATGTATAAGTAGTACATACATACCTGGCAAAGCATCTGCATTATTATTATGTGTTGGGTTTAGTGGGTTATACTCGGTACAAACCGGTGGCTGTGTACTATGCCGGACCAGAGTCAAGGCATAGCAACCAAAACAAAACTAAAATTAAATGTGTGTGTCAGTGTCTGTATTAAGGAATTTCCTAACAATATGGCATGTATTCAATATAGTGGCCTTCTGTAGTGTGATGTATGTATTTCTACTCAATTGTAATGTTTATTATTATTATTATTATTATTAATGAAGTAGCCTGTAAGAGATAATAGTAGTGTTGTTGCTGCTTTGTTTGTGTTAAAACAGTCATCAAGTGGTAAACAGATTGTTACTTTTTAAAGTTTTTGACTCCAGAATTTGCCTTACTTGCCACAGGTTCGCCACTCAATTTCTTAGATGCTGTTATATTGATCTCTCTTGCTGTTCTGACAGATTTGATAGTTTTTGAGTCCTTCAGGATTATCCTGGCATATTTCAGTGAATATCAATATTCTATATAACCTTGTGACAATTAACATCCAGTTTATTCTGTTTCTAGTTATATTATTTTTATATGTACTAATTTAGGATTTTGTTAATCTCTAAATACTGTCAATATTATGCTTAATAATTTTTGTGTTTGAATAAAAACAAAAATAGTTATCATTAGATGGACCTATGGTCTTATATCAAGGAAATTATTTGAAGCTTTTGAATGAATATATTTGCTGTAAAATACTTTATTTATTGCATTGTTGTAATATGTAAGTTAGGTATGGGACGTCACGCCAACAGTTGTATTAACTCAAAGACTTCAGATAAGGGGGCATTAAAGAAATTAAAATAAACACTTTATTTCTGCAAGTGCTTTCGACGTAATTACGCACTTCGTCCTCAGGCAGTTTGAATAACAAAAAGATTTCGAGCGAAATATTTAAATTAAACAGTAATGACATTAACTATTTTAGAACTTAACTTTTGAGAATAAGTAAATTTTAAATTAAAAGTTTTTTTGCAAACATGTAAAACTGATATATATTGTTCACATATATCACTAGATGCAATATATGTGAACGTTAGAGATGATACTTTTATGAACAAGAAGAATACATTTAGAACTAAATAATTAAACTGGTATTATTGATTGAGATATTTCATGTGTTGACAGAATAGCCAAATTTTTTAGGATAAAATAAAACATTAAAAGTGCATTAAGTGTATAAATCAATTACGGTCAAATATAAATATAATACTTGTTTAAATGAAGTATGTTTATTGCATTTGAACAAAGCACTTAGAACAAAACAAATTTGCATATTTTTTGGACTTTCTTTCCATTAAATCCCTCGACTACAGACTTATAGAAAAACTTAGACATGGGAAAATATTGGAATTATGTCAGATTTGATCCTCTATGCTTTTTGCAAATCTTGATGTTTTGAAACACATTGATCCAAAAAAAGTAAAAAGAAAGGGAAGGAAATTGTTTATATATGTGTGGGTTTCAATTTTATTTATGATCTTTGGATGGGGTTAATTAATAGTATAAATTATCTGAATTTTGGTTTTCGAACTTTACAAATAAATTTAATCTTTTAAAAGTCTCAAACATCTTAGCTTAACTTTTTGGAAAGTACTATTTGAGGAATAAATCTTTTCATCTTTAAAATCAATAAATCTATACAAGGCAAGAAAAGCATCTAATCAAGTAACACATCAGAATTAAAAGAATCTTGATTCCTTGTTTAATCGGATATATAAGAAGATAATAGAAATGAAAAACAAACAGAAATTTTTTGTGTATTAATTCATTTCTGAAAATGTTGAATCTCTTTTTTCGGAAGACAGAAGTTTGTACATTTCATTTTGTAATGAAAGCAGAACTTCAAAATGCACAATATATTGTATGGTCAATAACAAATTATTTACTTATCATCGCATTTTAATTCCTTTGCTATTGTGAGATCAGGGTTGTGAGACTACATTCACTATGCCACAGGTTCCCAACCTATGGGTCGCGACGAGCTTTCTGTGGGGTTGCCAACTTATACAGTAAACTAAAAAAAAAATATTCACTATAATGCAATTTTTATTTTTAATGGTGTCTTGAAGTTGGAATAATTTCATTTATTTTTTTAAAATTAAAATAAGTGTAATCTAGGTACTCTATTCTGTCACAATTGGTTGAAACATGTGTTGAGAGTTTGAGAGGAAAAAATTAAATGTTGAGAATGACATGAGGTTGGCGTTAACAAAAACTCACCTGCGAATTTTGAGGCTGGTTAATAACATGCAATTTCAACCATCACATTAAATTATTAAACATAATTTAAAATAAAATTATACTAAAAAAACTAATTTCGTTGTTTTTTTTAATNAAGTGTAATCTAGGTACTCTATTCTGTCACAATTGGTTGAAACATGTGTTGAGAGTTTGAGAGGAAAAAATTAAATGTTGAGAATGACATGAGGTTGGCGTTAACAAAAACTCACCTGCGAATTTTGAGGCTGGTTAATAACATGCAATTTCAACCATCACATTAAATTATTAAACATAATTTAAAATAAAATTATACTAAAAAAAGTAATTTTGTTGTTTTTTTTAATTACCTTATTAAAAATGTCTTTTTCAATTGTATCAGGGTCGCGGGCCACTTGGCTTTTATAAAAAGGGGTCGCCACCCGAAAAAGGTTGGGAACCGTTGCACTATGCAGTATATAAGGGGACTGAGAAATTGTTAAATTTTTGGTTTACGTCAGTCCTGACACCAGTTAGAATAATTGTTTTATTTCACGTTCTAACTCGCAATAAAAGGAGTAGTTTAAACGTGATCCGAGTGGCTAAATCTATGTGGTATATCTGAGTGGTGGGAGAGGGTTTCAATCCGACAATGGAGCTGGAACTAGACACTTAGACTTAATTTGATAATAGACTATTTATTTATATTATAAACTATATATACTGTATAATACATGAATAATGATAATATAAACAAAGTTTTCATTTGCCAATCTAATACTTTATTCCCTTAAATCTAACCTGCGACAGAGAGCTTACAGTGTTATGGTCAAATGTAACACCTCATTTCTTTTCTTCTGTTGTTGACGGAGCTGGCTGTATTCTCCTGTATTTGATGGGAAAACTCTGTTTTGTTCAGACACCAACTTCTTGGAAGTTATGGTTTCAATTCCAGCTCAGTGTTCGGCATTGGTGTCAATCCTATTTATAGGACATTTGTCTGACCAATCATTTGGGGCTATTCAAGTCATCTGAGGAGAGAAACAACAAGGAACTTTCTTATTAAGTTGATATCAAAATCTGCATTTTTCTTCAGGAACTTCTTTCAAAAACAAAAGAAAGTTCATTTGTAACTAACACAAATTTTTCTTTTTTTGACAAATTTTAATATTTTCTATTTGACCTAAAATATTTGCACCTAGATTCTCATACTATTGTGCACTTTTTCAAATGTTAAATAATGATAGCTATTAAAAAACTTTATAATATAATGGCATGTTTACATTGTTGTATGCGATTGACATTTCGTGCGGATGTCACAACCATTCTCACTTTCTATTGGATACAGAGTTTCCATTTCTGTATACAATAACTGAGAAGCATATTTGATTTGATTTATAAAGGGACCTTGTTTGACTTTTCTTGCACTCGAATAGGAGATTAAGGGGACCGGAAAGTTTGATGATTTTCAGTTATATTACAATATATAAAATTAAATAATAACAAAAGTTTAAAGGGTGTAATTTTGTTGAATTATGATAAAAATTTGTATTTAAAAAGATATTTGTTTAAAAAACACTAAGACAGATTGAAGCTAAAATTGTGTGTGGTGCCATCCGTTATGAGATTTTATTAAAAGTTCATTTTAATATTATTAATTGTTATAAAAAAAGGCAAAAAGCTTAATTTTGAGGGTAGAGATGAGTTTTTAAAAACATCGTAAATGCCAATAACCAGTAAAATTTTCGTTAACTCCAATCGCAGTCAAGATATGATCCTGAAATGAAAATAATCCTGTCAAGTTTCAGAATTTTTGGTTTATACAGAATTGAAATGTAATGAAAACAAAATAAATGCATGCATACATATATATATAACTACTGAATTTTATAAGGGGATTTTTTTTTAAGTTTTTGGTCTCATTAAGTGCCAGAACATTGAGAAATACAAAATTTGAGAGATTAAAATTTGACCTATCACAATACTTTTCCTATATTATTATCTATAACAGCAGGGAAAGTAAAATACATAAGTTGTAATGATAATCGATACCGATTCAACACAGATAAGTTTATATTGATGTATTTGAATTGGTTCATTTTACAAACTAATGCTCCAATCTTTTTTTAAAATTAACCTATGATAGAGCGTCCTTTCTGCAAACGATTCACCTCTGGCTGTATGATGTAAAGTTGTCATCCCCTTCGACAGGTGAAAACTTGGTAGAGGACACTGTTTAACGACGGACGCGCAACTATCGGCGATATTGCCAGGGTAATTTATCGTCAGATTTTGTGACGTTTTAAGCAATTTGGCAATTATTTTTGCTCAATCTGGCAATTTTTCTATACTATTTAAATTTGTTGAAGGTGTGTTCGAATTTTTTTCGAAAAACAGGGCTGCCGTCTCGCCAGGACAAACTAGACAGTTCAAATGCTTAGGGTATGGATCTGAAATGAGCTCATAAATTGATTTGTAAACTTTTATTTCTTTATATCTGTAAGTAAAAATAATTTTATCTAGAAAAATTGAATTATTTCTGATGATATTTTTGTCATTTTGACTTTCATCTATAAAAAGAAATATTTATTAATGTTTACAGAATGTTTAAATCTGATTTATATATTAACACTGTAATAACATGTAAAAAAATCTTTGTGTCAATTCAATTGTTTTTCTATATTACACAACAGACTGACAAGATACAACACGAAGATAAGACACTCGACACCGATATTTCTTTGTATGGCCATTGCAGTGTTAATATGTAAATAATCCTGGGATAAAATATAACCGATTTTATATAATTTTAATTTTTTTTTGTATATTTAGAATATATTGTGACTTTTAATGGATATTATACACCTGAGGCTCGTCACAAATTCATCTCGGCAGCTTTGAAAAATTCAGATGTTTTATTTTGGAAAATTATACCTAGAAACAACGTAGCAAATGTATATCCAAGTGATTTTGATTTAATACAGGTGAGATGATGAAAGCAATTTCATTTCTTTTTAATATATCTTTTGATATCTACACTAAATATAAAATTCTTAAATAAATTATATTTTAAATTTCGATTTATTCTTTTATTTCAGTTAAACAGCACAAGTACATCAAATGGAATTGAAGCCCTCAAATCGCATCCTTGTATAAAACAAGTTTCACCTCAACATATAATAAATCGAATGCTCAATTTTGTAATTGGTAGGTTAAAACCGAATGCTTTTTTTATATGGATTAGATATCAGTTATGCTTATTAATTAGCTGTTTGTTGTTAAGTATCACAAAACTGCCGAAACAATATTGTTTCATGTGCATATTCCAGTAAAAATATAACGTAACATCCCAATATTATCAAAATTATGCAATATATACTCAACCAAATGATCATCGTAATTAATCGAGGTATAAATTGGCTATTATTAATGATTACATATTAAGTAATTTGGTATTAGAGGTAGACGTTAGGCACCATCTCTTATCTAAATTAATAATTATAATTATTAATTTAGATAAGAGATGTCTTTGGGAAGTTTATTATATACAATATATATCTCGTTTTCTCACTTTCAGTTTATAAATACGTTACGTATTTAATCGTAACTTTTGGCTAGTACTTACAGCATCTGTGGATATGTTAATTCGTAGAAAATTAAGACTTTTTGGCTGGTTATATGTTGAGATTACATATTTAATTGCTGTAATAAAACCCGTGTAAACTGGAATTATATTTTACCGAATATTTTTTTCTGGTTTGTCAGGTTTTTGTTTTGAACGGGTTCTTTTTTTAATGTAGAAAATTGCTGTATTTCAAAGAAATTTTTCCATTTAGGCAGGTTTTCTTTTTATTTAGGTTGAATTTAGAACAGGTGTAATAATTTTTTATATAAAGTAAAAATTCAAAGTTATGTATATGTTATGTATAAAAAAATTAATAAGTTATGTTCGTTGAATGATTACGACTGATTGTTTGATTCACATTATCATGAAAAAATATTAAATGTGTATAAAGTTCCAACTTCATCAATACGTTCTTGAAACTGGGATGTTAAACAAAACAATGTATAACAAAACCAGTTTTACTATACTCATAGTACTGTTCACTTTGCCACATCTCAGGCTGATTTATGATTGATAGACTTGTGCAAATGACATAAAATGTCCAGATATGTGGCAGAGTGGACAATCATACTTCTCTATGATAACATGCTTGTACGTCAGTCCATAATGATCGGAGTTTCTTACCAGAAATGGTATTAATCTGCTTCCGTAGCTTGCCTTGCTTCTTGTGAGTTTTACCTCTTTCCATTCATGAAATGTGTGTGGGGACTATACATCCTGGGTTTTGAGTCATCAAAATGATATAAAAGCAGTATTACAGGAGACATTACAATTGGTTGCAAAAGATGACTTCCAGCAATGCTTTTAGAAGCTGTAAGAGTGCTGGAAAAAGTGTATCAGCATACTTAATAATTACAAATTCAGTGTGATTATTGTTTCTCATTATAAACTGATAATAGTAACCAAAAGACTAGCAGAACTAGCAGCTAATTTGTTCCATTGTTCAATATTAGCAGTAAAATAACTGTTTTCAACAAACAATTTCTTTGAGACATGTTTGCCAATTGTTAAAAATTCTTCATTGACTACCAGTTGAGGAATGCTGCATTAAAAACTACAATTAAAAACCAGTTGATTTTATATCAAATTGATAATGAATTGGAAATTATCAGAAATTAGATGAGAATGGAATATAATGTGTATTGATTCCAATACATTACGTAGCAAAACAATTCAATGGAAAATTTTATCTTATAATTTGTAATGTGTATATCCATTTAATCAGACTGGATACATAAAGGAAGAAATCTCTGACTCTAGATCTTGCAAAATATTAAAGAAAGATCCCGATCTTCTCATTTGAATTCTTGAATTTTTCTTTAAATTTTGCCATTCTATTTTTTGAACTTCAGATTCAAACTACAAATTATTTGAAAAATTTATGATGTAAACTCAATGATATTTTTAGAAATATTCTTAGTTTTAAGGTATTTTTTGACTCCTTAATTTTATCAGACTTTATTAAATTTAAAGTTGAGGATTCTATATCAATGAATGTATTTGAACTTCCTTACTACTACATATCTAATTCAATACAACATTCTTGATTATATTCAAACACAACTTCAAACTGGAACATGTTCATAACATTTTAATATGCAAGCATTTTTAAATAATTATATTGATAGCTTTATTAAAGCCAGATGATCTACAGAATTATCAGTTTATGAAAAGACTCAATTCAGGAAATTGTCTGGCTTTAATCAAGAATTGTTTATGGCTTCATACTTTCCAGTTTGAATTTAGTTAAATTTAGTTAAAAATATATTATCCATATTCAGATCTTTTTGGGTAAACTCCAAAAAAGCTATCATTCATACAAAAAAAAAAAAAAAAAAAGCTTTAATTTCAAAGAAGCAAAGAAAGAACAAAGTATAAAATGTTTAAAATATATAAAAGTCGTGGGACATCACATGCAAAGTTAATTAGAAAATAAGCATTGTTCATTAACACCAAACTTACAATGATAATAGAACTGATTTCATTCCATTCTATTCTGCTAATAAAACAATCTGAGACACATAAAAATAACAATGTTAGATAAAATGTGTGGAGTATAAAGTACATAAACAGCACTTAATGGACACTAGAAATCCATCTCAAACGTTAAATGGATTTAATTAAAATTAGAAAAAACTTCAGTTCAAGCTATATATATAAAGATATCAAAATTAAATGAGGGGAAGATAAAATAATTATACCATGCTATGAACAGTAGAAGAACTGCACATTGCTGCAATTCAAACTAACATAATCAATTAAAAGTTTAACAGGGCGACATTAAAATATAAAAATTGAAAAATTCCTGTGATTTTAAAAAAAAAATACTTTCATATTAGAAGAATGTATTTTGAATTAGAATGTTCGTCAAAATGGATAATTCCTTACTACTAAAATAAAATTTGATATTTTTGAATACATCATCAAGTTAAGGGTTTTAAGATTTTGTTTTAATTTAATTTATTCATTTTAATTAAGTAATTTCTTTTTAATATTTCATTAATTTAATTTATTATCTGTTATTTTTAAACACTTTGACAGGTTCAATGTAATATATGTAATATTTTTATTGAAATTATTTCAGAAAATAACTCTTTTAATGAAGATTTTGACTGTGATGAAACATATAATGGATTGCATTTTGGTGAAGATACCTGGTATTCCTCAAGATCGTTTCGAAAGCAAAACAGATATTCATTAGTAAGATTAAATTATGCGTTTTTAGATTATTTTATATATATATATANTATATAAATTTCAAATTATTATACAGGAAGCTTATAAAGTCCTTATTTATTACAGAGAGATTAAAGCATTTACTGTTCAATTACAGTAATATAGAAGAAATACATTTACTGAAAATTTAAGAGTAACTTTTAGCAATTTGATGATAAAATTTTGTCAAATTAAACTATCCAAGTGTGAGATGCAGTGCACATCGACATAGGTTCTGCCAAAGCACTTTATACTGCAATTAATTTATCTCCAAAACGAAGTTCAGATAATTAATTTATCATTAACAGATTCCATTCTTTTGAAAATACAAAATAATTTGCGTAGTGTCTTGACTTTAGGACCTAGTCTATGAAGTTTTCTTTCTAATTTCATTGTTTCTTTCTTTATATTGTGTATCCTCGCTCGTATGTCTTTACGAATTCTGTAACAAAAATCAATAAAAAATCATTTTTTCACTGAAACAGATAGGAATTTTATAAATAAGTGTATTATATTATATTTGAAAATTATTAAAATTAATAGCATAATTGTTTAATTACATAAAGATTCAAAATGTATGTGAAATTGAATGCACCCTTTGTTTAATTAGTAGAAATTTAAAAATATTGGCACCTGATTAATATATTTTTGATATTTATGTAGCATTTTAAAATTATTAAAATATTTTAACTTTATTTTAAAAAGATTATTAAACAAATTATACTTTGCATAATTTCAATTACATTAAACATGAATAAACTTAATGATTTGAAGATAAATTCAAAAACTTTTCACTATAAAAATGTCTTATTAGAATAAAGAATTTAATATAATCAAGATTATTTAATTAATTAAATAAAATGGTTATCAATTATTTTCAAATCTTAATTATAACTGTCTCCTATGAAGAACTTACTTGTTATTTATTTTCTTATATCATCATAGTATGATTATATGAGAAACTTTAGATACAAATCATTTCAGTAGCTGTTGTGGTTTTTATGAGATTAATTTGTGATTAAAGTTATTGTTTACTTTACAACTGGGTGCAAGTTTGATTGATTATCATCAATATGGTGATCGTTTGGTGGTTTAATCTATAGTTCTCGGGCTTTGAGTTGTTGTTTTTTATTAATCAATCAGTCAATCATTATCAATCAAAACATGATTGATATGAGTCTCAAAAACTGTCTACAAGGGGAGAAAAAGATAAATTTAATAATTAAACATTACACTTAAAGTTTTACTTTCTTAAACCAAGTAAAATGTATAGTCAACTATTTACATAATAAATCTAAGTAACATATTTTTAGTCTTTATCTTTCAGTTTTATAAAACAAACCAATAATAGAAACTGTATATAGTTTCCAATATATGAATGCAGATTCATTAAACTTAAAAGCAATTACATAATTATTATTCATTACATTTAATTGCTTTTAAGTAATAATTAAGTAGTTAAGTACAAATATATATATCACTATTATTAGTGATATTTTTTCTTTTAATATAATCTATGACAAAATCCTGGCCTAACAAAGAGTATTTTTAATACCACTTAGTCTTATACAAGATAAAAACCACTGTTTCACAACTTTTTCAAATATCTTTCCACAAAAAACACAAGGTGAAAAGTCTGTAATTAGCAAATGTCTTCCATTAAAAATCAGTCCAAACTTACTAAGTCTCAGTTGTACAATCAAATACTTTATGGAAAAACTTAGCCGAGACAATAAGACTAGGCCAACAAAGTAAACAGTTCTATCTCTGCTTTCTGTGTAATTTATATCTTAGTTCCAAACTTGATCATAATACCTTTGAAGGATATCTGGAAAGATGTTCTAAGACAAGTATTGATGTTTACTATCTTTCATATGTAATATTGGAAAATCTAACCCAATAAAGAAGTTTTTTAAACTTGTTTTCCAGTTTAAAGGGTTTCTCCTTCGCTCCTTCTAACCAATTAAATAAAGTTTGTTATCGTTTAATTTCCTTATGTCGTCTTCCAGTGATATCAGTAATTCGCTCCAAAACTTTAAAATTCCTCTGACTAAACTTATTACCTCAAGACCTAGTTCTGAATATGGAATCCACGTATTGATTGATCTGTTTTAAAAGTTTCCTTAAGTACCATACTTGGATATTCTCAGTTTCTTCCAGAAAATTTATTCCCCAAATTGAGAACAGATAATAGTCGGTGGAAAGTAACAAGGATTCAAAGAATTTAAAGTTATCTTTTAGCATTTGTCGTCTTAATTTTGAATGAACAACTCAACAATCGGAAATTTTCTGTTTAGATGTAGTAAAATATCCTCTTCTATCTTTCCAAAAAATCATTGTCTTTGTTTATTTTTAATTTATTTTACTGCAATAATTAGTAAGTCTAATTTATGCTGAAGAGCAACTTTGTATCTGCTAATATTATCGCATCATCTGCATACAAAAGGCTATTTACTTTGACATCCGGAGAAAGCAAAAATTTTGAATACGATTCATCAATAAAACACTGCGGAGATTGTTTGCGAAAGGACTAGAGGGTAAGAGGATTTAAAGGCTGTTTTATTGAGGAAAAATGAAAAACTACAAATATAAAAATGATTTGTGTTCATATTATACAAAGATTTTTCTGTATCTACTAACCATTCGTAATACTTCATTACATTTATACTGCATGCCGTACAAGAGATTTTCACATATTTTGCATTTGTATTTTGTTGTTAGCTTTTTATTTAGTGGTATATTACAATTGTTACATTCTTTATCCTTATTTTTATGTTTCTGGCTGTTATATATATATATATATATCATAGAGAAAGTATGATGATCGGCCAGAAAAAGGACCACTCGGATTTTTACATTTTTGGACTCGGGACCTTGAAACATTGAGAAACTTCTTAATGTTTTACTCTGGGTAGTAGCCTTGTCATCTCACCAATTGTCACCAGCCCCAATTTTCTCGATTCTGTTTAATAATCAATATTGAATACTATTTATAATTGATTAATTTATCAATATACTTTACTAAAATACAAGGTGAGGATTGTTTCTTAACAGAACTCTACTATCGTATCGATATATGTCATCAGCGCAATCATTTTGTAACTCGTTTCTTACTGACCTTATCAGTTGAGGCGCATTTGGCCTACTGGTCTGATCTGTGCAATAATAGTTCCTTCCTATACAAATTTATTTATTTATTTATTTATTATAATCGGTTAAGTTTTGATTAAATTCTTCAACAGTTTCGTCTGTGGAATGTTGTTCTTCTGTTACGACAAGAGATTTTGATGAAAAATGAGATCTGAAAGCACTGCATAGGCGTAGACTTAGAATACTTTTAAGATGATAAACATTGAAATATTTGTACTTAAAACATTATTCTTGTATTTTTTTAGGTTCATCTTATATAATCGAAAATCAATTTGATAGCCAATCATAAATTTAAATGGCTGTATTATTTTTGGACTATAATATAGTAATCCAGCAATTTTGATTTATAATCGGTCGCACCATATCTATTTTAAGATCACGAAAAAGAACATTTGCTGTTTACAAATTGTTTGTTACCTCTCACAAAAAATTATATAATTATATATTATTTTCAATAAACTTAAAGGGAATGGACATTTGGCAAAGGGCGAAAAGGCATTTGAGTAGAAAACTGTTACGTGCCGCTCCCCGTCAGATCACTCACATTTTACAAGCTGACGCTCTCTGGACCATGGGCATCACAGGTAATTGGATCTTTTAACTCTTGTTATATTAATTAATAATTTGTACCTTCTTTCCAGCAATTTTTTAATTAAGTGAATGTTTTTAGCCTCTTTAGATAGGCCATCCTCGGGTAAATTTAATTTGAACCGTGTCGGATTTTAGAATGCAAAAGAAATTGACTTTTATGCTTTAAATTTATTCGAGTCGGGCAGCGTTCTGCTTTATAACAGACCATTTCCCCATAGTGAATATAGCCTGAGGACGGCCTACCGAAAGAGCTCAAAATGTTTTCTTAATTAAATAACTGCCGGAAAAAAAGGTGTATTTTCGAATCAAACCTTTTTACATTATGCAAAATATATACTCATTCTAATTGTTAGAAAAATTTATTTATGTAATATTTAAAATTCTAGGAACGGGCGTAAAAGTGGCCGTATTTGATACCGGACTCGCTAAAAGTCATCCGCACTTCAAGAAAATAAAAGAAAGAACTAATTGGACGAATGAAAAAACTCTGGATGATGGTAAAATTAAAATTTTTATTTTTACAAAATTTAAATTGCATTAATATACTGCCAAATACTACAGAACTCACTTCAGTTTCTGCGCACACTGTATTTTGTAATAGAGGCAATTCTCGAATTATGAACGAGTTCTGTTCCTAAGTCTGTCTTTAAGTCAAGTTTGTAGTTAAGTTGTTATTTACACACTAACCATATATCAGTAAGTCAAATGCTTGTCTTAGTATATATTTTAACTTTCTGTGCATAAAAATGCTTAAAAACCACTTTCAAATACACTAAAATATCTTAAATACATTAATACAGTACATAATAATAAAGTGGGCTTTATAGCAGTTTGTTTTTATGTACGAGTTGTCTAAGGTTGAGTGTTTATAAGTCAGGAACACCACTATAGTCTGTGTGGCGAAAGAGTAACACGAGTTGGTCTGAGCGGAAAGGGTCTATGTCAGATGAAAGTAATGGAGGAAATATCCAAAAGTTGACATGTGGATCCAATCTCTTTTTGATTTTTACATTTTTAAAACGTTTTTGTACTATCTTTACCATAAATAATTTTATTGTTTTAATTTCTTTGCAAATTTTATTACTATGATCTGCGTGTCAACTCTCACGTCTCCTTCCAGGTCTTTCATCCAACATTGACCCTTTCCATTTAGACTGACTCGTGTCTACTTTTTGGCTGCACGGGTCGTAGTGCCGAATGCCGGTTATTTAAACTTTAGTGGATGTAAAAGTAAATATTACAAGAGCATTTTTTTAATTTTATGATATAATATGCTTTTTTTTAAAAAAAAATTAGCATTAAAGATAAGATAAATTTCATATGAAGATAACAATATCTCTTGATATGATTATTGACGACTTTGAATATGATTGTCATTCTGAGTGTTTTTGTCAATCTTTGCTTTAATAATGCACTAGAAGCTCCATATTTTTTGCATTTTTTATTTGAGCATGCCACATACAGTATTTGGGATTGGATATTTGCAATCATCTTTTTATTAATATATTTGCAAAACTAAAATTTGCTTAATAACAAACAAAGGGACAATTAAATTATTTTTAATGTTTTTATGATTAATGTCTTCTAATGTAATTTTCACCTCTGACTATTAGACTATTCCAATATATACTACTTTATAATTTCACAAGTTATTTTAGCACATTCTTATGCAGTTAGTAAACATTATATTAATACTCACATTCACAATACATACTATTTCCACCCGCTTGTAATCAAATTATTTTACATTATCTAATTACACAGAAAAGTTATTCTTCTTCCTTTCTATGAAGAAAGCTGCAATATGAACAATTCTCCCAATTCTAAAAGAAGAAAGCTTGATTGTGACAGACTCTCGGTTATGAGGGAGTCTATTCCCCATCCAGAAAGTCAAATTCTTCAGACTGGAGGTCAGTTTGTAATCTGAGGGATGAGTTTTATGATACGGTAAAGTTTCTCAATGTGTATATAACGTATATTTCTGCAGATAATACGATAGTTGAATCACAAAAAATGGCCCCAAAATCCGAGGTCATCTAATAGGACAGATACAAAAAAATTAGATTGAATTATGTAACAATAAAAACAATACTATAACAACATAAATATTAAAAGTTATGTTTATTGTGCTACTGAGGAAAAAACAGACAAACCGTAATTATTTACTAGTGGAGAGTAGGGTATGTCTGCAAAATAGAATAGCTCATACGACATTTTTGTGAATAGTCAAAGTCATTACCTGAATGCCCAAATCAGTGTGAATGCTTGCAACAATCGCAAGGCAGTGCTGCCAGATGCAAGAAAATAAAATTTTTTCATTCAAAAAATTACAAATAGGACATAATTCCATATACTCTATACAGTATTATTATCCAGATGATGATTGCCGATGTAAACTAAATTTATAGGCTGTCGATAGTTTGGGGGTCGTCTTATAGGACAGATATATGTTAAAACTATAAAACTTTGACCAAAATTTATACCTTGTCTTGTCTGCGGAAATATATGGTATATATTTTTCAATGTTTGCAGTTTCTGTATTGGCAGCAATTTTGCCGAATATAAATCCTCGAATATGGAGCTTCTACTATAACTGTAACCGATTAATTAAAATATTATGTTTGTGAATACTGGATTATTTTTGTTACTTAACTAGCATTTAACAATTTAATTATGATACACACTTGGTTGTTCTTACAAATATTATGTTTGTTAATAATAACTAAATTAATTAACCACTTAATTAACTGGAATATGTTAATAATACACAACCAAAAACCAAAATCCAGCACACAACAAAATAATTGGAATCTTGGATTACATGTATCAAAGAACATGCTATAGCAACATACACATACACCGCTACCAACTCATCACCGCTGCTCTAGCGGCATACACGGCCGAAGATAATATCCAAGTTTGGCTTGACTGGTCATGCATCTTCTTTCATGCTAACAATTGAGCGCCAGTCTAGTACTTAGAAAAATTAGAAATTTATGAAGCTGTTAGATAGACCTCTCCCACCAACTTCAAAGAGCTGGACTCCTTCCCTTTTGAGTGGAAGTTTCACATTGCTTAGTTTTTCTCTTACGTCACCAGGTGCCATCTCGTGTACGGCATTCTCCAATCAACAACGCATCCTAATTCCATTGTGTTCTATCTATTTTAGAACTAACACGACTTGATGATGACCATTTGTTTGTTTCTGCATTACATACAGTACTTCCTTTGAAACTGTATCCTTCATTATCATTGTTTTTTATATTGGTCATATGATAATATCTTAATGATTTAACTCAGAGACTAGGCCTATATATGTAGTTATTAAATTTTGGCTTTTATAAAATTAAATTGCTCATAATTGTTGTAAATGAAGCTAGCATTCCCAGTTTGAACTAAAAGTATGAAAATTATTTTTTTAGTATTACATAAATTTTGCTTTAGTAATTTATTTTTTAAAAATAACTTGTTACAGGATTAGGCCACGGGACGTTTGTAGCTGGAGTGATAGCAAGTAATAAGGAATGTGTTGGATTTGCACCGGATGCCGAACTTCACATATACAGAGTGTTCACTAATAATCAGGTATTTAATATTGATAATTCTGTGTATATCGTGCTGCAGTTTTGTAATTTCAAATCTATAAATTCCCACCGGCATCCATTTGTATGTCTATCGTTCCTTAATCTCAAGAATGGATGGAAAGCTTAGGGGCAGAAGGCCCAGATTAACTATATACGAACTTACAGGTTGACTGGAAGACACATTATTTCAATTAAAACATTTTCTCCAGAACTGTGTTAGATAGATGACCAGTATGACTCTGTTTTCATTGGGAAAAGTATGATGTATGGGGGCAAGACTACTAAAATTGAGAACATATATTTTAAATTAAATAAATTGAAAACATGATTAAATATCCTATATAAAAATGTAATATATTCACGTTTTTATTTCTCATTAATATTTATATGCGAATAAAAACATGAGATTAATTTATTAAAAAAACAAAGATTCCATTTTAACTTTCACTCAACAGAATTGATTTAGCTCAAGTCATCGTACTTTGCGGTAATGTTACTCGTGGTCATTCTGTCATGCCATCACAGAAATTTTAACCCCCAATTGCAGAGACAATATCTATATGTTGATGATAGTTTAGATATAATGTAGACGAATTTCATTCTAAAGACTGCATTTCCTGTTTGCTGCAGTTTAGACGGCAATTAGAAATCATTTCTTTGACTCACTTTCTAGACTCGCTTGATAGCAGGTTTAGATGGTGCTTTAATTTGATTGGAAGTCACTGTATTTATATGTTCGTTGCGAAGTTTATATAAAAATGGATATCCTTTATTTGATAAATGTAAACAGGATGAATTGACAAAATTATCTGTCTCAACAATTACAAATGGTGAGAGTAAGATGAGATCGTAATAATTTGTTATAAATCTATTCCAAATTTGGTGTAGATTTTTAAAATCATACTGGCAACAGAATTAAACATTTAAATGGAAAAGGATTGCCATTAACTGTTGAATAACAGTTGCTAACAACCTTATGAATGTGGTACAATTGAGAAGCTAGAACAGTTTTACATTTTACTTGCCTTTCGGTTCTGTGGTACAGGCTGACTGACAAGGAAATTACTAAGAGAATTTTCTCCCGTGCTGTTCTTTCACTGCTGTTTTTTCATAACCCTTCTCCTTGCAGGATAACTTTTTATAATTTCCACAAGAACACTTTCTTATTTGGAGAAATTTCGACGCATTGCTGGTTGCCATTTTTCTGACATCACAAATGAATAACATGATTGGTTGAACAACAACTAAAAGAGGGGCCTAACAGTGAAGGGAGTAATAGCATACATTTTGTCAAGGTATGTTTAGACATCATCGGAAATATATGATCGTTGTCTTTTCAATGCATTTTAAACTGCAGTGTACTGAGCCAAACGTCTAGAATGCCACTCATCTGTTAATCGTCATTTAATGTAAACTCTGTTTCTGTAATTGGTGATAAGTGTTCTCTTGTAATTCTGATTTAAAAGAGGCACAGAAAATCAGTGGTGAACCTGTAATAGTATATTTCATTGCACACATTTTTCATGAAATGACATAATGAGTTATATGAATAAAAATAAGCATTACCTTATTCTTGTAAAATCTGAAGGAAATCCTTTTAGCTGTATGGATAAAAATAGAAGCAAAATCTTATACTTACAAGCACGAAGCAAATGTTTTTAAATAAAGGTTTTGCTTTAGTAATACATATTCCATATGAATAAAAGTAAGCATTTGCTCCGAATTGTAAGCAAATCTTTCAAAATACGTGCGTCTAGTCAGATGTGGACTGAACTGCAAGAAGCATGGTTTGCTGTTGCTTTTATCTCTGTTTATTTTTTGTTAATGTTTAACCATGGATGAAATAGTTCATCTAAGGAAGGTTAAATATTATAAACTTCGTTCCTCTCCACAAGTCGATGATTTTGAGGCATTATTTAGGTTTGAAGGAGAAAGTGTTGAATGGCTGGCGCACAATTTTTTAGGCATGACGACTGAATCACACAATGGTGCTCTAACTTTACAAAAAATGAAAACATGTTTAAGACATTTAGCTGATCCTGGACTCTAAAAAGACATAGGAGAAGAACTTGGTGTAGAGCAGTCCACAGTGTCACGAACTGTGAGCAATGTTGTGGAGAAAATAATAGCTCAGGCTGATTGTTGGATAAAATTTTCTGTTACAGATCATTCTATCTTGAAAGCAAAACAGCTATGGCAAAATAAATATTGCTTTTCAAGTGCGATTGGTGTAATCGAATGCCGTCACATAGGAACGGAAAAACCTAGACTTCGTTGTGACGAGTACATTAATCGAAAAGGAAAACCCACATTAAACATACAATCTACTTGCGATGCCAGATGCATGTTCACCAGCATTGACATTAATTGGATATCTACACTAATTAAAAAAAGCCAACACATGTATAATTAATATGAATTGAATACAGCTAATAGAGCATAGAAATGAGCATAGAAATGAGATTAAATGTGTCGTAATTTGCACGTCAAGAAGCTTTTACTTTTTACCAAAAGCATTTACTCAGAAGTATAAGGTAATCATTATTCGTACCAAACAGAAGAAATTCTTTTGCTTCTACCTTTCGCTTGAAGCATTTGCTTTTACTTCTACCTTACGCTTATTAGCATTTTCTTTGATTTTATTCATATGGGCCAATTTCTTTCAAACATGCTTTATGATATTGATTTTAGTTATTAATTCTTAATGTTTACTTAGTATAAAATAATAGCTTTACTAAATAAGAGAATTATTAAAATTATTTACATATCAATGTATAAGATAAATTTTGCTGTAATTTTTTATTTTGATGAAAGGTTTCATACACGTCATGGTTTCTGGATGCTTTTAATTATGCAATATTGAAAAAGATAAATGTTTTAAATCTCAGTATTGGAGGACCTGATTTCATGGATCATCCATTTGTTGATAAGGTAAATTTTTATTACTTTTTAAGAAATATCATTCAAATCATTTCTTGTCTATTGAAATTATGTAATTTACGCACCTGCACCCAAAAATTCAGCTTGTTAGGCTCCCAAATATTTTAAGTTTCTTTATATTTAAAATATTTTCAGATCCTTTTGAGCCATCTTTAGTACAAACTACTTTGCATTATAATAGCATACAGAACAAATTCATAATGAGTTTAAAACAGAGCAAACTTAAATTTACATCCAAGTTTAACTGTTTGTTTGTTAAGTTATGGCAACGCAATGCTTGGGCGATTGCTTAGGAGGTATGCCTTCCAGGAGGTCTTTTTAAGGGAAACTTAAAAAGACCTCCTATTTAGGCATTACTGACATTGAGAAAACCCGGAAAACTCCACGTGACCAGCCCATCCGAGCGAGGCACGAACTCACGACCGAACTCCCAGTGTTCAGGGTACAAAGACCACTTGGCCACTGGTGGGCACTCCAAGTTTAACTTTTATGAAAGCATTTTAAATTTGAAATTAAAATCTAAATTTAATTTTAAAACCTTGAAAATCCAAATTTAAAATTTTTAATTAATGAAACTTTTCATAGTTTAATTTACATTTGTAAATTAATTTCTTGTTTGGAATATTTAGATCATTCTACTTCTACTAAATAAACTTCAACATAAGTAGAGTTGACTTAATTAATTAAATAACTTTTTTATATCTCAATCTATATAGAATTATCTTTGAGATAATATAAAATGATTTAAAAAAATCTCTCTAACATCAGTATAGTAGAATTTTTACAAGATCATGTTGTAGAAGGACTATTAAAATTAATATTATATAATTTCAAACAGACAAAACCCTACAAGAATGAATGAATGACTTCATTTTTGTTGTATTTCTATAATACAAGAAGGATGTCATTTCCACTACTGTCTGTCATTTCATCTGTCCTTTGTTAATCATGAGAATGGAGTTAGATATATGAAAATTGAGACCAGATGTGAAACGCTTGGGGTCAGAAGCCCCAATTAACTATTTACAAACTTTCAGTATGGACCAGAAGTCATGTCGTGTGATATTTTTTAAGCTAAAACATGATTAAAAATTGCAGCCCAACATTGCGACAATGCCACAATAATATGCATTTAATTTTTTAACATCAAAATACTGTTTTTCTTTGTTTTGAGTTAATAATTATGTGGTATGTGTCTTTCTCTCCTATTTTAAGAATTAGTTTATATAAAATATTATTGCTATGTTTGTATGTTTCACAAGATTCAAATTATTTAAAAACAATAGCTTGAATATTAATAATAAATGATTATTAACAGGTTTGGGAGTTAACAGCCAATAACGTCATAATGGTTTCTGCTATTGGAAATGATGGACCACTTTATGGGTATGATTAAATTATATTTTAATTTTAAGTATATGAAATATGAAATATTTATTTTAATGAAGATAATTTATGCAAATAAACAAAATTTTAACCAAAATAACAAAAACACTTACTAAAACAACAAGCTCTTTATTGGCTGATAGCCCAGAAGTTCAAAAATTATTTGATTGGAGGGAAAATTTCAATTCAGTGTAATTTTCATTGTGGGAATCTGGGATTTAGGAGAAATATTATTTTAAAATTTAAACTTGATGGAAAAGTTATCAGTCTTTGACTTCCTCTCATTCAGGGAGGACTCTTAGTTTCTACCAAAACGGTAGTTCAAGTGCGGTAACCTGCTTGAACTATCCGTACAACCACCCGACTTCCTTTTCTTGACATCCCAATAATCCTATTGGATGTTGATTTTGAATAAAAGGGTAAAGGATCACCTTTTTACTTGCTCTAGTCCTGTTCTAGCCTGCTCTAGGTTCTAGTTTTGTTCTTGAGTACCATCGAGGCTTTAGCCATTGTTCCTGTTTTGATGCCCTTGCTGAGTGTCCAACAGATTAATAATCACACCAACCGAATGCCGAAAATCTATTGGGCTAGTATAAGGCTAATTATTAAATGAATTACGTAACCAATTTGGCTTTAGAGGTAAGCGTTAGGCGCCATCTCTTATTAACATTAATAATTATAAATAAATTAATTAATTTAAACCTCTAAAGCCAAATTGGTACTCTAACGCTTACCTCTAAAGCCAAATTGGTTACGTAATTCATTTAATAATTAGCCTTATACTAGCCCAATAGCTTTTCGGCATTCGGTTGGTGTGTAGTTATATTATATATCGGGTTTAGCGATGTTTGTATACATTAATAATCATCCTCCCAGGATGCCTAGTATGTAATCCCAAGAACTAATTGACACTCCAAATCAATTATGTATGGACATCAGGTAATATAACCATTTTATGCAAAGGAAGGAAAAATTGTTATTGTACGAATCAATAAATATAACCATTATACTCATCTTTATTTTTAATATAGTATAATAAATATTGTTATATTCTAAACTATCTATTTCATTAAGTTAGTGCCTAACTCCGTCGTCAGCCCACTTTACAGTAGAAATGTTTGAATATAATACCCTCCTAGAATTCTGGTCAAGTTTAAACTATTTCTTTATCCACTTGAAGAATAGACTCATCGCAAGTCAAGGCACAATAAAAATTATCTCAACTGGCGTCGGGAAACCTGATGACAATCGAAGAGAGTTGAGGAGTATTCATGTACTAACCAACTCTCAAAGATAGATAATCAACCATCCCAGTGAGACGCTGGTTAGACCGGAATGCTTGCAATCTCACATTATACATAGATTATACGAAGGACTCCTGTGATATTTTTTATAAATGAGTGCTTTTTTTGATACAGGTTACTAAAATTTACTCTCATTTTTATGTATTTGACTACTGTTAATTGCTTTTTTACTGAATTTCTCGAAAATTCGGGTGATCAGAACTACATTTTGATCGACTGTTATAATTTTAATTCAATAAATTATAATTATAATAGTCTATTAAAGTTCAATATTACTACTATTGAACATTAATCATTAATTGATATAAAAAACTTATCAACTTAAAGAAAAATGAACAAATTTGAGGTGCTAATGAAACATCATTAAAATTTTGTAAAATTTTACTGCAATAATTAATAAATTATCTGATACAGCTCTACTTGGTTGCAATACTGAAGTTGGTTCTGTGTTGCAACAGTAATAGGAATGTATATTTTAAGAAAACAATCATATAAATTAATGTATGACATGATTACACATAATATTGTAAAGTACTATATTATTTTTCCGACTTTTTCAACGATTATCAACACGACTGTGTGCTGGAAATAGCCGTTCCCTAACGGGTACTTTATGCGGATTTGCGTTAGTGTGCCAGGCCTGGGCTTTTAGCATGCACCGAAATTAAATAATGACCAAGTTTGTCAATAACAAATCAAATATTTAATTAATTTCTAGTAATAAACTATATACAAAGTTTAGTAAAACCAAAACAACAATTTATTCAATGAAAATGAATAAGAATCAACCTGACAAAACTCAACTCAATCTAGTTTCTAGCTTAATTCTATTCCCCTTTGGAATTCGACAAAAATTCAAAGACTTGACTTATATACAATAATTCTTATAAATTAAAGATCCTAATCGTCACCTCAATATACTAGGAATTTATTTCCTCAACTCTCAAGACTTTCTCTATTCGTCGATCCACAAATCGAATAACTTCAAAATCGCCTTGGAACTATTTGATCCTATCAGACATCTCTCTCGTTTACTGCTATGAAGCTCACCAAGCTTGTTGCTAACTGGAGTTCACCTTGTCCGTCTTCACTTGACGTTCAATCTTTATACTGTGAGGTGACGTCACAATTCTGAATGCGATCACTCCCCTCATTTACATACTTATTTGCTAACAATAAACTTTTCTATTTGTCTGGCAGCTTATTTTCCGACAATATCGCTAACCTTTTACATTGTTCTTTTTTACAATTTTCGGGATGTTTTATTCTTTTAAGGTTTAGCAAATTTAAGTTGTGCTTGTGGGGTCTTCTCCCCCCTTTTTCTCGATGCAGACTTACTTTTTTTCGCTCGGGAGCGCAAGTGTGCGTGAGTTTTTTCTATGGCGCTTTTCTCTCGTTGGTGAGTTGGTTTCTCTTCTATTTTTAAGTTTCTAAGGTGAATGGTGAGGAAACCTTCATCCTAACAAAACATAAGCCCCAAACAAAAATATAATAAAAAGCAAAAATAAAAGTAAATAAAAATAATGCTCAGACTTGGTTCCTTACAATATTTTCATTCCTATTAATGCAAATTGTTTTTTTTTTTTTCTTATTGCTTGAGAATTGCTGATAAATTCACCACTTACAACATTCCTCACGTAGAATAGTTCACTGATTTTTGACTGTCAGTAAAAGCCATATTTAGCTGTTTAACGTCAGTCATCTTTCAATGTTAGTTAAAAATTTTATTAACTGATTTTACAGTTGGTAAGCTTTAAAGTTCATGCAAAGTTTTTTTTTTTTTTTTGTGAACTTTGAACTTTATTAGGCCTCAATAATTCATTTTAGAACTGAATACATGTTTGTGAAAATATTTTTCAGAAATATAAATATGTTGAGTTAATAAACATATAAATATTGAGTTGTTTGTAAAGTTTGTAGCAATTTTTAAGAGAAATAAATAATTTAAAACTGAAAACACATTGTTATAACGATTTATGTATTCAAACTGCTTTAGATGTAATGTGGTACTGTTCAATGGCTTCACTATGTCTACTATCTTTCGAGTTGTGTAACGAGAATTATTATGCAATAATGTTTTTGATCTGGTCTTCTTTAATAATGACTGATCTTCCTGAGCATAGACTATCATCAAGGTTGAAATTATCAGATTTATCTTTAGCAAACCACTTTCAAACAGTTGATTTTACTACAGCACCCTCTCCATAAATATAACATATACCTTTTGCCGTTTATACAGTCTTTACAATAGAAAAGAAACAAATGTCAAAAATGTAACTTGTTTGCTTCTATTTTTACAATGAAATAAACAAAATTTAAATAATCTTAATGACATTTTTGTAACGGACACATCTGCAAGTAATTTTTTTCAATATTTATCGATTCGTTCTATAACAGTTTTTGCTTCCTTCAGTGTCTCGACTGTCGGCTATCAAAAATTGCTACAAACGATCCAAAATTTATACTTTATGTTACCATTTTTACATAATGAAATTTGAAGCGCAAGTATCATTTTTATATCAAAAAATTTGTGCATGTCCTTTTACACTCTCATGCGTGTAATAGGATGGTCTTCTCCAACAAATAACCAGACTATAACTTATTTTGAAACTTACTTCGGAAATAGCGATCACCATTTGCATGATAATAAACAGTAGAAACCTCGTCCCAAATGAAATTATTGACAAATGTCGTACTCACAGAAAAACAAATGATATTCACACACAAAAAAAAATACCTCTGCCACATTTATTCAATTAGATGTGTGCTTGGAATGTTGTTAATATTTTATTTAATTAATTTATTACCTTATTAAATAAAGATTTAATTAGAATTTGATATTACATTTTAATTTTAACTATTTCTTTTATTTTTAATAGAACGTTGAATAATCCTGCTGACCAAATGGATGTAATAGGTGTTGGAGGAATAAATTTTGAGGATCAGATTGCAAGATTTTCCTCTCGTGGCATGACAACATGGGTAAGTTAATTGAATAATTTTGAATTTTATGTATACTGCATCAATCATAGGCTTTGTAAATAAATCAAAAGTGAAAAATTCAGTTTATTGGTGTTAGGAATGTATAAAGATATGTAACTGTAAAATCAAGTTAAAACTTCAATCATTGTTAATATATACAAAATGTCTTTGTTAGGAAGTTTAAATAGAAGTAGAGTACAGTAATACCCTGAACTTACGCGATAGATGGGACCGAGCGATAACCGCATAAGTCAAATTCACGTAAGTTGGGGTATAATTTCACAATTTGTGTAAAATTCAAGTCGGATGTATGTAAGCTAACAAATGTTCTCGTTAATCTTATCTCGTCTTTTGATTCGTTCACGGTTACAAGAAATCACCACATAGAATCTCTCAAGTCTCCGTAGATATAACAAACACAGAAATAAATAACACAAAATAAATTGTAGCTATGTGTCGATTCCGTGCGACACGTCCAAACATGTAAGCTGAACAATAGTGTGGGGGGAGTGAGTAATGAAGAGTTGCGTCACACTCAAACAAAAGACAAATTGACGAAATTTGAAAATCGCGTAACTCCGGGTTCGTGTAAGTTGGGGTAGCGTAAGTCGAGGTATTACTGTATATGAATAGGACATATTAAATTTAATGATTTTATGTAATTTTTTATGTTTTGTTTTTCAAATTTTTAAATACAGAATGTATTAAATGTAAAAATAGAAAATATCATGCACTGATGATACCTAAGCAATTAAAAGCCCCTATATTAAGAGATCAAAAAGTATACATCAGAATAGGCAAGACATAGAATGGAAAAAAGTAAGAAATTTAACAGTTTTATCAGAACAATCTTTAGTTGGTATATTTTCTGCATCTGCAAATGCAAAAGAATTGAATACAAGTGCGTTTAGAACAAAACAAAAAATACACATATAATAATCAGATATGAGAATAAAACTTTATTTATATGATCTAAATATTTTCTTTTATATATATATATATATATGTGTGTATGGAAGGAAAAATATATATTAAAATATATATCAACTTTTATAGGAACTTCCTGGAGGTTACGGTCGAGTCAAACCAGATATTGTAACATACGGATCGGCAGTTCGTGGATCAAGTATAAAGTTGGTATATTCTTTAAACAGTGCAACTAATAAAATAGTTATATTTCATTTTGTATAAATAACGACGATCTTATTTTTATAGAGGAGGTTGCCGTTCACTTTCCGGTACAAGTGTGGCTTCTCCTGTTGTCGCTGGAGCTATAACCCTTCTTATGAGGTTAATATTTAATTTAAATAATCCGTATATTTACGTATCTTTTTAAAATTTTCTTGAGATACTTTTGGTATATTTATTTTATTTCCAACAAAATTGTACCAAATGTACTTCATTACATAATTCATAATATACATATAATTACTGGTTTGTGTAAAATTATCCATAATTTTATTGATCCACAATGAGAAAAAGGTTGAGAAACACTGATATAGAAGGCACTCCAATATGGTATAAAAGGTTGAGCATATTATTAGGAGAATGTTAGTTCTTGTCTAAGATTCTCCTGAGATTGATACAGGGGGCAATTGAAAGATATAATCAAGGTTGATGTTTAATAAATATGAAATAAAATACATATTTTACCTACAGGGTATTTTAACAGGTACCAACAACTTATATCTGCAATACCTTTATTTATATATTAGTGGAAATAAAACATATTACATTATCGTTATGAATGGGCAAAAAAGATATCAGTGAATAACATGTTCAAAATGAAGGCCATTTACTATCACTACACATGAATTCTTAACACAGAATTCTGGATTGTTAAGAGAAACATGTCTTCTGGAATTGTTTCAGTTTTGTGTCCAATAGCACGTCTAAGGTCAAACTAGTTATATACACATTCCTCTTATCTTGCGACGAGAACTTGATACATTCAACACCATCTAGTGACTAGATAATCCACGAAAAAGTTGTTTTGAAACACACACTGTACATTTCTTGATATATTCATAAATTTTTAATAAAAATAATACCTTAAGACAACTTTTTAAAGAGCTTTTTAGTTTTATATATATATATATATATATATAATGATTGTCATCATAATCTTATATTAAGTATGCAGATCTAAAAATAATATATACTGTTTTTATTGATAACCATGTTTTTAGGTCTTATTTAAATTTAAATGTTTGTTGAATTTAAATTTTAGTGTTGTTATTTGAGATACAAGTGATCATTTTACTTATGATTTTAGCGGAGTTCTTCAGTTGGGAAATGCCATCAACCCCGCAAGTATGAAACAGGCTCTCATGGCTTCGGCACGGCGACTTCCGGGAGTTCCCATATTCGAACAGGGATGGGGCAAGTTAGATCTTCTGCGTGCGTATCAGGCACTACGCAGTTACCGTCCTCAGGCTACCTTAAGCCCTAGTTATTTAGATCTCACCGAATGTCCATACATGTGGCCTTATTGTACTCAACCTTTATATTATGGTGCTCTTCCTACCATTGTAAATGTTAGTAAATTTTATAATTTTTTATCATCAAATTAGTTTAATTATATGAATGATTTGAAAAGGGCATTTATTTTTTATTGTGATATATTTAATTGTTAAAAATCAATAATAATTGAGTGCTTGTTTTCTGCTCTGACATTATATTTATTATCATCTTTTTCTATAATTATATCGATTGAGTTCTGATCCTATTTAAGTATAAACATACAGTGAAAAAAGAAATATCTTACGGGTATGAACAGATATAAGGTTTATATAATAGGATTTATATATTGGATATTGTTTATTTAGTAATAAAATCTGTTGTAGTTAATAAGTAAATAATAAATTAAGTAAATTACTTGATAAAAGTCAAGAATTAAAAATAAATAATCTACACTTTAAAATTAATCCAGTCTTTTTAATGAACAAAAATGTTTTTAGATCTATTCAATGGATCTTCATCAGTTGTAGAACAGTCAATGATAATTGAACATATAATTTAAAACAATAATATTTATTAATTAATACAGTAGAGCCTCGATTATCTGACCCAATTGGGGACTGGGGTTGGTCGGATAATTGAAAAGTTGGATAACCGAAAAGTATGAAAAAATCCATTGTTAGAGTAATATATTATTATATCCCATGTAATTAGTATATTAGTATATCGCTATTAACCTATTTTGCATTGAATTTTCCTCCATGTTAAGCCTATCAAATTTTTTTTAAAATAATAATTGTCGCTATTGTATCGTTAAAAATTAGAAAATTAAGCCTTGTTTAAATACTAGGTCCCTTTCATGGTCGAATGAGTGTTGCCAGCTAAAACACGTAAAAATAATATTAAAGTAGCCAAGACATAGCCAAATATTGTAGCGCCACATCACTAGCGGACATTTGAATTTGCCGACTAGAACGCGGTCGGTTAACCTAGGTGACAGTTAATCGGGGGTCGGATAATCGAGGCTCTACTGTAGTTTATTATTAATACATCGGGCTTAGTAATGCTTATATATAGAAATTTCAAATGAACAAAACGTCAAGACTTTTGGCTCATAATTGAAGAGACTGATAGTAAAAATGCAATTTAATCTAAAGAGTTCATAATTTATTTACTTTTATTAAAAAATATGACTTAACTTTTTAATTTGTTTTAGGAGTTTTTTATTTGTGCATTATATATCTTACACATCAGGCTGAAGAATAACAAATATAAAAATTATATTACCATTTAATGCTAATAGCATCTGGACCGTTGAATTCATTCAGTCTCGTTCCAAGGTGGTGATTTATTCTAAAATTTTCTCCATTCCACTTTTGATGCATTACAAAAATAGTTATTTTTTGCTTTATTTTTCTACAAATAAATTGATTTATTAAGAAATAAGACTCCCCCCTCATTTAGGAAAAATAAAATAAACTTGGAATTAGAATTGTGTCCTTTGAATTCGGTCAATTGTATCACATATATTTGAGTTAAAATATTCATCAAATATACTTAATTTAATATTTAAGTAATTTAAATCTAATTAAATGTTAGAATTTAACTGCAAAAAATCGTTTTTTTCAAATAAAATTAAATTGGACAATTTTTAAATATAAGAAATTTGCTCCTAAAACTAACCTCTGATGGTCATTGGCAGAATAATGTTCGGACAAACCAAATTAGTACTATTGGGGTATGATACAGAATGTAATTCGTAGTGGTTTTACTTAAGTTTTGTGAAAATAAATTGGTTTATCGACGACTTTTTCTGAACCAAATAGATTGATTGTAACCTTTCTGTAGACCTCTTTCTGCTCCAAGAGTACTAAGAGACAAGGAATTCTTTCTAGACTGCATAATATCAAAACACTTACTAAAACACCTTTTCTTGCAGCCGACGCTTTATTATAACGACTTTCAAACGTTTTCGATCTTATTAAAAGACCTTTCTCAAGAAAATAAAATTAACTAAGTAACAAAATAAACGACATAATCGTAAATCGAACGCTTAGTACGAATAACTGTTTTTTAAATCTTTCGAACTCGCTTATAATCCGTTGTACATGACGTCATTGTAACCGGAAATATAAAAAATTACGTAACTATCTAAATATAAATACTTAAAGATGCCATCTCTCTACATCGTTCAAAAAATATAATTTGAGATACATATTCACTATTTTCTTCAATTATTAATTTTATATTAAGCTAGAGGACCATGCTGCTGATATTTTAGTCGATTCCCGGAAGTTGATTGCAAGGCCTTTATGCTTTGCCTTACAAATCTGCCAGGCTTCCGCGTAATGTCGGTGTCTCCTGTCTCGAACTATCTGCATTAGTCTTGCTTGGTCCCATTCAACATTGACGTCTTGCTGGTCCGCTAGAACGTAGGTGGCTAGCGCAGTGCAAGGTTGTTTTTTTCTTATATTTGCTTGATGTTCTGCTAACCTGTCTTTGATACTTCTTCCTGTTGCCCCTACATATATTAATTTACTTCGTCGCCTTGAGTCCGAAACTGGAATTTTATATACCCCGGGGAGTGTTCTTCTGTCCACTAAATCTTTATCAGATCGCAGTAGTTGGTACGTGGTGCGGGTTCTTTTATATATGATTCTTTTGTTCTGGGCCTTTCCGATGCGTCGGAAAATATTATTCAACGACGCATTATATTCCATCGTTAACACTCCTTCATTATGAGGTAAATTTCTCCTCTTAAGGCTCCTACTACTCTTGTTGGTAATAGCTTTCAGATTAATCCCGTACTTTCTGGCTAAGTTATATACATAATTCAGTTCATCCTTTCTATCATTTGCATTGTTACAGTGCGAATAAGCTCTTGCGATTAACGTTCTGAACGCTGCTATTTTATATGCTGGAGGATCGTGAGAAATCCACGGAATAAATATAGGGTTATAGGATGGCTTTCTGTACACTTT